AATTATAGAATGGTTATGATATCTCTGTGTCATCTCCTGCTTCAGGCAGGCACTGAGCTGAACAGGCATCTGCAATTCTGAAATCAACCACCAAGGAAACTTCTGTTTGCCAGAGCTATGCTTTATAGGGGTTTTGATCAAAGAGTGGGGGGCTGATTTTGGTTCCCGTGCTTAGGGAGGCTGTCTTTACAAATGAAGTTTGTTCAGGTAATCACAGAAGTGAAATCTTGCCATGAGAAAGATCAGACCTCAGGGCTGGGCTGGAGTTTTGTATGCTGTGCATTCAGTTCTTACAATCTTTTCGGCTTCGCTTCACACAGTAATTTTCCAAACTTTCCTTGATTGATTAATGGCACCTCAAGGTTGATTTCTGTCTGTAGCAGTCCAACTGGCAGTAGCCTTTACTGCTTTCTAATACACAGAAAGTAATTCAGTGTTTGACTTTACTAATTAAAGTAGTTTGGGTGTTGGGTTTTTTTTAACTCCTAACGATTCTTTTTTCTTTTTCTTCATTGACACTAAAGCAAAAAATAACCTGCTCTTCAATGGATTATAGCCAAGAACTTGCAAAATTTTTGGCAGAGCTCAAAGACAAGGATTTTTATGATGAAAACTTCTTGACATAATAAAAGAAATTGTTCTGCAGAGACCTTTGAAGTGACCCCAGGAAAAACAATGTAAACCTCCTGTCTCCCTGGGAACAATGAGGAGGTCTGAGTTAATTGCCAGCATCTTTAATCTACATCTCCCTTGCGATTTTCACTCTCGAGTCTTAGATTGATTCTGGTTAGCTTGACTAGAAGACCTGATTCTGTCCCCGGTTATGCTACTATAAATCAGACGAACGTTTTTGTTACAACTGATGAAATTATTGTGGCATGAGCAAAGCAGAGGGATCAGAATCAAAGAATAGAAGGCATATTTTTAAAAAATAAAAATCTTATTGTCCAGTCTCATCCTGCTCCTATTAGTGTGGTGATCAGGGAGTGCCTGACCGGGGACTGCATGAATGGTGTCCAAGCCAAAGATCAATGAAGTCAAAATCTGTCTTTGCGTTCACCTGAGTGAACTTTCCATTAAATTCTTGAAGTGATGGGAGAGAGGATCAGACATGAGACTCAGGGCTTTAGTACTCAGCCTCACAGGTATTAATGGGAGACAAATGATTTATCCCATCCCTGCCCATGCAAAGAACTGAACGAGCAGGCAAGGAGAATCTGACTGAGCATCATACAGGATCTCTGATGGGTTAGAGGACAGCGCTGTTCTCTGCCCAGAGTCAGTCCTTCCAAGGCAAAAATCGTTTCCCCATGCTAAGGGGGCAGCATCTCCTTTCCTGCTGGGTCTGCAGCATGTGATTTCAGTCGGCAGCACCCTCCAGGACAACCTTGCCAATCATCTTAATTGAATCTTTCAGCTATTTCCCTGCAGCTGCCAATTTTAGCGTGCCACATATCTTGCACATCTTTTTCATCAGAGCAGAATTAGGAAACATGTTTCTTGCTGTCTTATCTCTGTTGATAAATAATTGTATGTTGCATTTATTGGAAACTTTGAACTGGTACATTTGGAAACACTGTTTAATATGTCTGTCTATGAACAACCATGGCTTGAACAGAATTTAATTACCGAGAATGGATTGCTGAGATTGGAAAGCACAAGAAAGGTGCACCAGGTCCTTGGAAGACATCTGTAAAGGGCTTGGAGGGCCAAATGCTGGAGCTGCAGTCAACTGGATTAATCAGATTGGAAAGTGAAGAGAGGAGGAAGTCGTTTCTGCTCAGCGAAGTAGGTGATATTGCATTCAGGGTGCCCCAAGGGAGGAGCAGTAGGCAAAGCAATGCTGAAAAATATATATATATGTGTTCTTGGGAGAATAGCGAGAGCTTTCCCTCAGTTCGTCTGGTCCGAGAATAAGTGTGTAGGATCAGACTGTGCATTGCAGCAGTGAACCTTGCACCAGTGCAGATGCCTTTGACTTGGTTCCAAAAATAGTTAAAGAGTTTGGTGTATAGACCAGCTGTTGGCAAATTCAAATGGTCTAGTTCCCGTTTACACCAAGGTCTTGCTGGGGATATGCAATGAGATATCGGAGCAGGTAAAAATGTGCTCATAAAGTCATTCAGAGCACTTTAAAAGACAGCAGGAAAGAAGTCTTACAGCATGGCAAGAATCAGGCTGTAAAAATCATAGACACTGTTTCAATCCAGGCAGGTGGCTCTGCATGTGTGTTGTCCTGCATTTCTCCAGAGATATTTGATTAACAAAAGAAGACAGGTGTCTGTGAGCACGCTCTCTTACAGGATTGCTAGTACTCTAATCCTTAGCAGCTCAGGAATCTTTCCCCTAGGTACTGTTGCATTTATTCTGGGGTGATGAGTCCAAGAATGAATCCACAAAGATGTCAAACAGGAGAACAAAAGCCCAGTGGTCTGTTTATCCCTCCTGTATCCCTTTGGTTTACAAGTGAGTAGTAAATAATGCAAATTCTAATTACATCTTAAATATTCTGAGAACTGGATGAGCATTTTCAACCCTCCAGAGGAGAAATGTGGTGTGTTGATTGATTCTTGCTGAAAATGCTGTCTAGTGTGCAAGAAAAATACCGCTATAAATGTTGGTTTGCCCTCATTCTTGTCTCAGCAGCTGTTCCCAAGGTGGGGAGCTGGCAGTGCCTGCAGAAGCCCAACAGCAGCCCTCAGGTAACGCCTTTTGTAGCGAGGGCTCTGTGTTTAATCATTTAAATACATTTGATTTGAGGATTGCCAGCCAAATGCAAATTTGGTGAAGAGGTGTATCCAGTATGTTGGGAGTCCCTGGGCTCGTTTTTCATCCCCAAGTGTCAATGGATGGGGCACCTGCTGTGCTGGCTGGGGCAACCTGACTCTGAAATGCCCATCCAAATAGAGGGGAAGGAAGGGAGGGAACTTTGAAGATCAAAAGGGCACTATTTCTTAGGTAGCTGGCAGTGATGTGGTTTAGCCTTGTGTCACCTCCCACCCTGATCCCTCCAGTTTCCCCATGAACCTACACAGGCATCGAGTGCAAGAGACGACCGGCTCCTGTGCACAGCCCACACAGGCGAGGGATGCAGCCAAAAAGAACTTTGCTCTCTATAAATGTTTCAACCATGTTAAAGGAAAGGCAGAAAAGGGCAGTTTGAGTTTGCTTGTCCGTTTCACACTGCTGAACAGAGTGATTACTGCCTGTGTCTGCCCAGACAGCTTAACCCCTTCTCAGACTCCAGGGTGAGTAACAGCACTTGTATCCACGCAAAAAAATGCGTCTGTTGCTGAAGACTTTCTACCACAGATTGATCTCGGGTTCACGCTGACCAAATGCACTCTTTTTGATTTTGTTAAACCCATGCCACTGGAAGCATAGTATTGCTGTCTGATACCTGTACATCACTAACCAGCAGTGAGGATGTGATATGAAAGAATATCTAAAGCGTGTAACAAGAAACAGGAGAGGTGGGTGCAGTTTGTGTAAATGCAGCCAGCTTGTCATCAGACCTGATAGCTCAAAGTCTTTAGCAATGCTGACAGTAAAACAGCTGCAGAGACAATTTTTACCTGCTCCTTGGCAGATCGTGTTTATTGGTCTTGGCATGGAGCTGTATTTGCTGGCTTCTTCGCACTCAGCTGCACGGTGGGTGTTAAGTTATGCGTGCTTCAATGTGGGAAGTGGGTTTGAAAACTTGCTGGTAAGACATCACCACATTTGGCTTTAGGGTGTGAGGAATCAAGAGTAGGTAGTGTTTCTCTTCCAGCACCCATGAGCTGATGCAAGGTGCTCTGACGGTCTCAGGGAAGCTGTGAGTACTGATGGTTATGCATATACCAATGTTCTCCTCCTTGCAGATGTGGTCACATACCAAAGATCCATATCTAGGAGCTTTTTCTAGCTCCTTGAGTAGAAAAACAGGAGAAAAGTGGCAAGGATTCATGTCTGATTTCCCTGCAAGTGTTTTGCCCTGATGCTCCAGGTGTGACAAGAACATTGTTTCATTCACTGCCTCAACAGCAAGTACTCCATGGATCAGCTTTTCTGTATGCACCATACAGAAAGTTCTCTACAACGATGAGGCTTGATCCTTTTCTTGTTCACAGCAAGTTAACTCACAGTTCCTTCACTGCAAACATGGTTTAAATCAGGAATGATGCCAGTGAAAATGGAGGCAGGCAGCAATTCTGGATTTGTGCTAGCACCACTGAGGCTCACTTTAGGTGTAGTGAATAGGGTACGGCAGTACAAGTACAAGTAAATTCAGACTTCAGGAGCTTTGATTTTAATGGAAATTGTGCTGGAATTTCAGCTCTAGGACTAGTAGCAAGATAGCACTGGAAGTTTGGTATGTTTTATCTAAATAAAAAGTGTAAATTACATGGCAGAATTCTCTTTGCTCTGCACACAGCCTGTGTGGTGTTAATTAAATCCTCAGCTTCTTTTTTAAGTGGAAGGAAGACTGAGAAAACGAGTAGGAAATCAATTCTACATTTAATTAAAGTAACTCTCTTCCATTCAGATGTTTTCCCACTATGATATTGGTGATGCAGTTGTAACGGTGAGCCAGTAGGTATCACAAAGAAATTGGTTTTACAGAAACAAAATTTACTTAAACTTAGGAATTTTATGGGTAGCATTACAAAACCAGGAGCCTAAGGTAAAACCCCAGATCTCTGCACAGAGAGGCTTTTGCTTTGTTTATAATCCCTCCTTGGAATTTGTTTGCACTGGTGCAGAACCACTGTTTCAGATGTTTTATTGTAATGTTTTATCACGTTAATCGTACCAGATTCCTGTAGAAACCTCAGGCCAGTCCTTTGGTCGCACTTTGCTGCTCTCCTAAGCCAACTGGGAAAAGAAGTGCAGCAGGTCTGCATGGATCCTGAGAGATGCTGTGGAGTGATGAGTATCAGGCACTATCAGAAGATGGATGTTTGCTAACTTTTTGGTTGACTTTTGTTCTTACACTTTCTTTCTCTGTCTTCTTGTAGGTTATAACCCTGGAAGGATGGGTTGACATCATGTATTATGTGATGGATGCACATTCTTTTTACAATTTTATATATTTTATATTGCTTATAATAGTAAGTATGAACTATGAGATGCTCCCATTCTTTGTCTTGTGGGGTAAAGTTGTTCCCTGGGCTTTTCATAGAGAAGAGCCAGCTAGGATTCAGAGTGGGAGACCCTCCTCCTGCCATAAAGCATAATCATGCAGGTTGTGATTAGTTCTGTGGGGACAGATTATTGGCTACAACAGTCCTTTTTAGTGTCACATGTGATGCATAGTCACAGCTTGTCAAGCCATATGGTCTCCCCTCCCTCTTACTCTCCCAGTCTTGGTTTTGTCACCTTGACGTGTCCTAACTATTGCGCCTTGGCCAAGCAACTGCTAATCAGAACAAAAAGCGGAGAGGCTGTACCTTTTCTTCCTTTAACCTCCTCAGTGTGCCAGAGGACACCTCGTTTCAATGAAGGGCCCTCAAACTATTGAACTTCACCTGAGCCCTTTAAATAACAGTAATAATAGCAGCACACCTTTCTGAGGTCTTACAATGCTGTCATTCCTAAAAATAAAGTATTAGTCACTGGAGGTGCTGGAGGTTGCCTTCAGAAGCTGCCATTCCACATTAGCAAGGTTCTTTTTTCACAATAGGCACAACCTTCTCCAGGGGTCTACATCTGTGGAAAAGTTAAGCATTTAAGTCAGGAGGAGAGCAGAGGGAAAAAAGTACCATGTAGATGTCAGGCAGGACATGGGACAGAGGCGCTTCATAGTGCTTTTGTGGCTGGATATTCCTTATATATAACCCCACCATCATCGATGTGGTTTTCAAGGCCTCGGGAATTCAAACCACCACAGCTCCCACCACCAGTGGGAAAGGCATGAATCAGAGCAGTGTGAGAGCTTCCCAGTAATGGATAGCATTCTGAAGCCAGTGATTTCTGAGCATTTAGCAGTGGACCATGCATAGTAGAGATCTACGCTGAACTCTTTTGAGTGCTTCTTTTCATATGGATCCTTGCAGAAAAGCCAGAAGGTGACTAATCTCCAAGTCACATGGAGCTGGGAATGGCACCCTCGCTGCTTCTCAAACAGTATCCAGGCCAGTATTACAAACTGGAGAATAGCACTGCAAACCGTCTCCCAACGGCTTCCCCTGAGGAGTCACCAGACAATGGTCCAGATTAAATCCATACGTTTCCTACTGAACACAGCACAGAGGTTTGGCCATGTAGACAGTGGCACTTTCTTGACGTCAGTCCCTTTCATGCTGAAGGGCACTGGTTCTCCGATGGGACTATATGACATTTTCCTTTGATTTATGAACCCAAGTGGTGGAAAAACCCGTTTGTGGACTCAACAGCTGAGGGAAGGATGTAGCCTTAAGTCACTTCACATTCTCGTGTTTGGGACTTCATTTTGAAAACCTGGTATCACCCAAGAACACATCAACTCAACCAAAGAATACGTTAGGCCTTTCTAGGAACACTGAATCTCCTGGAGATGCATTCCTCTGTGCCAGAGAGATAAAAAAGTACAAGGTCACAGTTACATGGACCCTGACTGTCCTCAAAATGAGGACGCACCATGCCAGAGCGTGAAGTGAAGGAGGAAGAGAAGAGGCAGTTTCAGTGCAGCACAAATTGGACTTCAGACTATCTTTCCTTGCAGGTTGGCCAGGTGTTTCCTAGTGTTCTGTTTTGTGGTGGTAACTGATTGTGTTGTTTCATACACTCTGTGTTAGTAGCAAATGTCGCCACTGTCGAGGGGAGGAAAGTGGTGAAGGCTATTGTTAACAGCTTGCTTTGCCAAAATAATTTAATATGGCTTAGGAGCAAAGTTAGCAGCTCAGGCACATGTTGACATAACATTTGGTGAGCAGACCCTGAGATTTGGCATCTTTGGAAATCTTGGGATTTCTAAGAACCACGCTTCAAGTCCAGACAGCATGTGGTGGTGGAGCATGTGTCTTGCTTTGTAAAGTCCCTGCTAATTTGTTTCCCTGTGTTTTCTCCAGGTTGGTTCCTTCTTCATGATTAACTTGTGCCTGGTTGTGATAGCAACACAGTTTTCTGAAACAAAGCAGCGGGAGAACCAGCTGATGCAGGAGCAGCGGGCCCGTTATCTCTCCAATGACAGCACAATTGCCAGCTTCTCGGAGCCAGGTAGCTGCTATGAGGAGCTGCTCAAGTATATCTGCCACATCTTCAGGAAGGTGAAACGGCGGACAGTACGCCTGTACAATAACTGGCAGAGTAAGCGCCGGAAAAAAGTTAACCCAAACAGCACCACAAATGGGCAAAGCCACCGAGGCAAAAAGCGCATCACCTCCATACACCACCTCATCCACCATCACCATCACCACCACCACCACCACTATCACATCAGCAACGGGAGCCCTCGGGGACCACGCTCCAACCCTGAGATCTGCAACCTGGAACTCAAGGTCATGAAACCTGGAGGCCAATTGATGCTTCCTTCTCCATCACCCAACTTGCAGAGCCCTGCTCCTCCTCCAGATTCGGAGTCTGTGCACAGCATTTACCATGCGGACTGTCATGTTGAAGGACCACAAGTGAACTGTAAGTCTTCCAGTGCCCCTGTAAGCATTAAACTGACTGCCGGACTCTCCAGCCATGGCAACATGAACTATCCTACCATCCTGCCTTCTCCAACGAGCAAAGCCAGTTCTGTTCCGGTTCCCAAAGGAAAGAAGAATGGCAATTCACCTGTGGCCACGGTTAATAGCCCTGTAAACTTGGGCACGGATTCTTATGGGAAGCTGCAGCAACTGGTAGGAGAGCATGGTAAGGACAAACAAGCTGATTTTTTTTTTTGTTTAGGAAAACTAGGCAAATTGCTCAAGAGTTAAGGTGTTAATGATAGCCATGTAGGGTGCTGAAGATGGAGTCTGTTTTGTGAATGCTATTTGAACTGAGTGCTGAAGCCAGAAGTAGGACCTTATGGTATTATGTTTGCAGTCATTGGGTAAAGAAAGACCCAGGATGGTCTGGGCAGTGAGTTCAGGCCACTGCTGGAGGCCTGTTTCCCATGGTTACAAAGTATGTCTTTTGGAGCTCCTCTCCTGTGCTTAGTGATATCCTGGAGGTTCTCCCTCTGTTCCCACCCAAGAACAGATCTGTGCAGCCCCTGGAATTACATCTCTGGTGAATGATGGACCTGCCAGGTGCAACCCTGCAGCAGAGAAGCCCCAGCTTCTGGGAGATGGTACCTTGAAAGGGAAGAGCAGGTGGAAGCTGGTGAGAAGCATAAGGTATAGGAAACATAGTAAGTTTAAAACAAGGAGGCACTGAAAGAACTTAAACCAGACACTTATAGTAACCCCTAGTTCTGCTCCAACAGGCCTCTGAGCCTCTGAATTTATTTTTGGCAAGAAGGAGCAGAAGGTTTGGAGGAAGGCCCATGGCCACTGCAGGGTCTTGCTCTGTGCTAGTGCTTGGAGGATGCGTGTGACGACAGGAGTGTAGCAGAGCTACAGGTCTCAGGCTTTCCCAGCTGTCTTTCCCAACGTGCAGAAGAAGCGTAGGACTGAATGTTACTGCAGATTTGGAGCATCTTGGGGTCTCTTTTGTACCTCTGTCCCATCCCTATTGGTACAGGCGGCAGCCACACCAGCACTGCTAGTTAGTGTAGTTTTATCTCCCTTCCCATATCAATCACTCACTACTGGAGTAGTGATTACATGCAACACTTGAGTTTTTATTTTGCAGAATGTTTCCAGTCCTCATGGCTGGAGCTAAAGGCTGAAAAAGAGAGTCTTAAGCCCTCAAACAGTAAAAAGTCAAAAAGATCTAGCTTCTATTTTTCAATCTCTTTAAGCCAAACTTGTCATCTGTTTTTTTCAATGCCTGTGTTTTCCAAAACTGTTTATCTGTGTGTGCATGGACACAAATATTTATCCTAGTGATGTATGTGCTGAAAAAATACCAAGCCTAGCTTGCGGGAGGGTCACAGTAAAGGTTGCTTACCAAATAGGTTAGGAGGCTTGTCTTTGTTAATATATTTTTTTAAGTGACCATACAAAAGGGTAAAGTGGATTGTTTATAGAAATTGCCTTCAGCGGACATTTCTGTATGCTTGGGAGCTTAGCAGGAGGGCAGAAGGGGGCAAGGTTAGTTGCAACGTTCTTCCGTTGTTAAGCAAGGGCTTTATATGAATCACTGGTTCATCTTTAACTATGCAAGTTAATGAAGGTTATTCTGAGAATGTGTATTTACCTTGAGATAAAAGCCCAAGCTCTGCAGAAGTCTGGAACTGGGAAAGCAAGGATGAGCAGAGGAGCTGTTGCTCGGAAGGCAGTGCTCAAGTCAGAGGTTTGGGTCTTTGTGCTTGCAAGGAGATCTGCTGCTGGGGTCCTCTTCAGGAGAAGAAAGCCTCAGATCTCAGTCCCAACTGTGACATCCCAGGGCCACTCCAGTGACTTAGGAGTTTTTCACGTAGCCTGTGGTGGTTCTTTGAAAGCCGGAGGTTAGATGGGAGTTGCTATTAATAATGAAATTGTAGCATCCTCTTTTTACAGAGGCATTTCTGCCCAGAGAATGCCACAATGCTTTAAACAAATCTCCTGAAATTGTTTTGTCTCTTTGAGAAGTGTGGTCACATCTAGGGGAAGGGGTGGATGCCACAGCTCTTGGCTGTTGAGCGGCAGCTTATCTGGCACCCTGAGGAGCACGGGGCTGGGAAGGGAAGCAAGTCAGCCAGGTCCATCTGGAGACCCTGTCACACAATGTGTCAGTGCCCAGCTCTTCCCCTTCATGGCTCTGGCTCTTTCCAGGCCCTCCTTCCCACTCCTGCCGCAACCCCTCCTGCCACACCAACAGGGCTGAGTCGAATTCACTTCTGCACCGCGAATGTCTTCGTACAGCAGGGATGATGGATGTGTCTTCCAGGCTTCAGGAGGATCTTTAAGTGCCAAATAAGCTAGCTCCTGAGGGTGTAGCTCTGCCAGGCACAGCTTCTCAACTCATGTTTCTTCCTCCCAGCCTAAACGTAGCAAAGGAGCCATCTTACGGCCCTACCTTGTGCTCAGCAGGGAAGGTGAGGTGGGCTTACAAGCTCGCCCAACCCTCCTGGCCTCAGCCTCTTTGGGCAAACAAAGAGCTGTTTCACTGAATTCCCTCTCCACTCTTACAAGTCAACGAGCAGAGTCTGTTCACTGCAAGACTTGTGCAAGGAGAGCACACAAGTGATAACTGAGAGCATTAAGGAGGCATTAACAGCCAGAGCACTCACAGCCCCAGCTGGAAACAAGGTTGGCGTCTGCTGGGAAAGATGCAATTGTGGGAGAGAGTATTCTCTTCCCTTCTTTTGTTGTGGAATTGAGCAGCATAAAGTACAGCCTGTTCCTCCGTGTTCTCGTGCCCTGCAATGCTGTGAGGTTATTTTAGCAGGCAGCCAAGGAGACTCTGGTATTTTGAAGACATCTGCGGCGCCAGCGTTTTTCATATAATTTTTAACACTTTGATAGCATTAAAAGATGTCTGGCAAGCCCACTACCTCTGCTATCTGCGCTGCTGTGGCGGTGCTGCAGCCTTTCCTCATCAGATCAGTCCTGATCAGAAACGCCATGCTATGTGCAGTGCTGCGCCGGTGCTACTTGCAGGTTGAGTAAGGGGGCAAATATTTCTGATCCTGCCGGTGTCTTTGATGTAGTGACCCGGAGGAGGACAGTCCTCTCCTGCAAGGCTGTTTTGAAGGCCAGTGATATCTGGCCACTGATACTCAGGCAAGTAAAATATATTTTGACTCTTGTCCCAACCTAGTTTTCAAGCTATTGGGGTGCTTTTGTTTGGTGCTGCCTTCTCTTTAAAGATGTCCTCAGCCAGGAGTGGCTGAAATCAGCAGCATTACTGCTGGGTGAGCTCCAAGCTCCTGGGCCCAGAGCCAGGAGCATCCACTGCCTTTTGCTTGGTCTCCCCAAAACCGATCCAAATGTCCCCATCTAGACTTCAGACAGCGGCATGTTACAGGGGAAAACTGTCCCCTCACCTTATTTCCCTGAATCTCAAGGAAAGATTTCATTGATTCTTGAATGGCATTTTGTAGAAAGGATCCTATGCTCACAGTGTTGTGTTCATGTTGGGTTTTTTTCTGCCATTAATATCTGGTTCCTAAATACAAGGAAACTAGGAATTTGGTTCCTAAATATGAGGAACTAAAATGGGGTTCCCGTTCCCCTCAAATCATCCTTGTTACACTTGTCCATGTCATCTCCGTTCCCTGGCTCTGTGAGGGCAGTCAGCGTTTCTCCTCACACCACAAAATGTATGGCAATGTTTGATTTTAAAACACCCTGCACACTGTCCTGTGCCTCAAGCAAAGAATTCACCTGAGCTTTATTAAAGGCTGAAGGAGGGATGAAGGAGACCGAAGGGACTACGTGACTCTCGAAGCTGTTGATCCGTGGTCTGTAGCCACCTTTTGTCCATTTCTCCCTCTCCCTCCTCGTTATTAGCTAAATGGAAGTGCTATCTAAATTGGGTGTAACAGCTTGATAGCGCTCAGATCACCGCTAATGATGTTAGCCTGGTCAGATATAATCAAAAATAATTGAAAGTGAGAGATGTGCCAGTCAGTCTTCCCCCAGCAGCAGAACACAAAATGGCTGCCACGCTTGGTGGAGAGAGGCCCCTCGGCCCCATGTCCATGGAGGGGGCTAGAGGGTGGGTGTCGGGGCTTGGGGAGAGGGGAACAGCGGGGAAAAATGACGCAAAGCAAGAGCCGCTTGGTGAGATGGATGGCTAAAAGGCTGTATTAGGGGATTACATTTATTTGCAGATGTGGCAGAGGCTGGGGCTCAGCGCTGCCTGAGCAGGAACACAGGGCTGTCCGCCATGTTGAGGGTGTGAGGTGGCTGACAGTGCGTGTCTCCCCTTGCAGGTCTGCGGCGGACGCCCAGCCGGCTGTCGGGGC